GTTTTTACGCAATGATGTATCACACAAACGACTGGGAAACATTCAAAGTATTACAAACATGAACCTAGGGATTTTTGGACACGATGAAGGGCTTAGCTTGTTGAACGCGTTAGATGTTAATACTGATATAACAACCGCTGCGGTGCTTCGAGTTCATCTATTACGGATTTTAATGACGATTTGGTTATTTTTCCATCTTGGACTTATACATTGGTTAGAATGCTTTGGGAATATATGTGAGTTGGTTCACCAGTTCTTATTTATGTTATGTTCCGAAGCAAAAGTACAAGCCAAAAAGCAGAAATTTTCAATTAGAGGTATCGATTATGTTGTTGAGGCTGCCAATTACCGCTATTTTATTATCGAACGATTCCCACTTGTGTTGTGCCAGTTTTTATGTAGAAATCTAATTTGCTATAGTCCATCTGGGCTTAAAGAATTTCAAGAATCATTTCCCCTGGTTGACAAACTGTTGTTTCCGCAGAGTACATGTCTATTATTGAAAATCAATGATAATTTACTTGCACCTCCACCCGATATTCCTCAGCCGTATTTGGATAATGAAAAGGAAGTTAAAGTCCCCAGTAAAAGAGAATATCAGCAAGTATTATCCTTGAGAAACGAATATTTTACGCAACAAAGAACTCATCTTGCAGCCGAGAAGGTTAGAATGTTGAGTGAGATTGGACGGTTTGTTACCTGGAATTGTTTACTTTCTTCTATTAAATTTGTCGATATATATGAGAGATATGGGTGTATATGGGATGGAAATGTGCTTACAGTTGAAGAGAAATTAGAAACGTTGGGGGCCTCTATATTGAATGAATTATGTTCATTCACTAATACATGTTCGAAGGATGAACTGAACTATTTGAAGAACATAATTCCCGAAATTACATTATTTGATATTGCAACTGGGACAAAATATATTGTTCACGGAAATGTTACTGAGGATTTTGGATACGAATTGGAATTTCCCGACAGCTTGGATAGTTCTACTTCCAACAAGAGAGTGTTGATGGTTTACTTAAGCGACGGACGACTGAGAAAGGAATTGATGTTGAATTACGCTCTTCAAACCATAAGCAAAACAAGCTTAGATATAAGCCCTCGCAATTTACTTCCTTCTACTCCGGATTTATTAATTGTTACAGGGAAAACTTACGAAAACCCTCTTCAGACATACGGTTTTGCGTGTGCAGATGAGAGCGGGTCAAGACTGATATCGCCATTAATTTATTCAAGACAAGGCAGATTTGGATTCAGCCAGTTTTCTAGGTCAATTTTTAGCTATATTTCGAATAATTCGACATCTGTCTTAAGTACGGAAAAAACTGAATCTGCAACAGGTATTGAAAATGGCCCAGATGCTGACAGCCTTGCAACTACAAATAAAAGTATCTCGAGCTATGTAAGTCTTCAATCAAGCCAATATTTAACGAACCTTTTTAGACGAGTTAAAAGATTAACCACATTTGGTACTACTTCGTATAAAGAAGTCGCGTTAGAAGACTAGATATGTTTGTAACAAAATAGTCTATTATTGAGTAAATTTATTTTGTGTTGTTAATTTCGATACTCCGATATCCACACGATAATAAAATAATCTCTAATAAATGATCAAGTGTAAAATATTAGACCTAATATCTGAATTGAACACTATAAAGTATTAATATTTGTCTATAAACCGCATAAATTTCAAAATCTTACAATAACATCTATATATTATTGCTCAGAAAGTTTCAATAAAAGGCAAAAAATAATTAATTAGTGAATCTTCCCTTGCCGTTTGACAGTTAAAACCAAGCTTAGAAACTAATAATGATTAAAAATGGTATTAATATTTTTCATTTAAATAGCCCAAGACTATATTTGAATTGCCACCGGTCAATATCTACATATGTTATGCTTAGCAAAATACCTTTAATGCACAAGGAGATTTATGTCCGTCGCCGTGTCCCAAGTGATAGCAATCGATTGAATAAACAATCAATTAGAAACAAACTGACAAACGATGGGAGTGCAAATAATAAACCAGGAAGCGATAAGACTACAACATCAACAAATAGCATTTCAAAACAGTCAGAATCAAAGCAATCTAAACCAAGCAAATCTGCAAAACAAGCTTCAGATCAAGCTCCGGAACAATCTAAATGGTTAGAATCTCAAATAATATTACCAGAAGAGAAAAATATAGATGAGGATGTGCCAAATTCATCTAAGAATATAGAAGAGGAAAGGCCAGCAGATCCTAGTGTACCCAAGCCAAATGTATCCAATATCAAGAATCAGTTAGATCAAAACGAACCTATAGAAGAAGTGGAGGATATTGATGAATTCAATAAGGATGACTTTCTCACTACTATTTTTGAAAACATGGAGCCATATATGGATACGTATGAAGTTTATACACAGCTTGTTAAGGCAGGGTTCAAACCAGATCAAGCAGATGAGATAATAAATTTATTGATAGTACAATTAAACTCGAAGCTTTCGAAGTTGTCTACTAAATACTCACAACTATATGAGTTAGAGAATGAGAGATATCTCTTCGAAAGTGCGCAGCAAGAGCTTAGAGTTGATATTACCAGATCGAGAGAATTGCATATTAATGAATTAATCAACTTAATTAATATTTTGGAAAGAGACTTTAATATAATATCAGATGAATTGAACAACGAATTTATTCAAATGAAGAATGACACTCAAGTGGCGATGAATGATCAGAATTCTGAAAATACATTACATGCTAAAAAAATACGATTGAGAATTCAGGAGACTAACCATAAGATAACAACAGAATTGAATTCCGCAATGAGATCAGAAATAGAGAGTTTGAGGTGGCATATATCCAGGTGGGGTTTAATGGCTATTTTGGTATCAGTATTTTCTGGATGTACCGTGTTTTACATCAATAAAGTCAAGACAATGAAACGATTACAGAATACCAATGAATTTGTTCCTTTAGTTATATATGAGCCGAGCGAATACGACGAGGACGATTATCATACTGATTTAGATGAGAGTTTAATTAGTTAGTGTTTACGTATATATGTACAATATTAACCTGTATCTTATTGTTAGTCAGCTGATTGGATTTCATCTCGAATTAAAAGTACTTAAATGGTAGCAATGTGAACCGCTAATTTATCTTCTACTAGAATTGCCAAACAATAGCAGCATAAACTAGAAGAGAGCCACACCAATATGTCATCCTCTTCAGACAAAGTAGACCCATGCAAACCGGAAGCTTGTGCTATCCAGGATTGCTTACAACAGAATAACTATAATGAATCAAAATGTTCTAAGATAATCGACAACCTATACTTATGCTGCAAGAAATATTACGAGAAGAATGGTAGCGATAAGCAAACAACATGCTGTCCTAAATTCAATCTCTTGCAATTAAAGCTTAAACAGAGGGAATTGGGCAAAATTGATGCTGAGATGGTCGACCTGCGTAAGGGATAAAACAGAGCAACAATTTACATATTTTCCACGCAAGCTTTTCTTTGTACGTAGTGTTCCACTACAAAAGCTCTCTCTGCTTGTGGTTACTCAAGTTAATTAGTAATACTATACTTGAGTAATAACTCGGTTGCATTCGACTATTATTCTTTACATAGCAATTCATAATGCTCATATAACTACAATTCAATATAAAACTAGATAGATGTACGTTTAGAACCGCGTAGTCAAACTATTCTCCAGAAAATGACACGACAGAACAAGGTTGGTAAAAACGATTATTCTAAGGCTTACCCGAGCACGAAAAAATCACAGAGTGATTATAGATTATATGTAGAAGAAATTCATATAAACCGTGACTCTAATGGGCGCCTAGTAAAAGACATTGTATAAAGAAGAAAAGGAGAAAATTTGATAAAAGTTACAGACGGAAAATTCTCTTAAATGGTGGTTCAGATGAGATCACCAAAAGCGGGTAACCCCGATACATTATTCTACTGGAATTCTGGACTTATACCTATATTTTATTACGGGCAACTATGTATGCAACTGTCTATTCCTTAGAATTACCTTCTATTTTCTTTTTATCGTAATCATGAGCATCTGGCAAATATAATTTCAAGGCTAGAAGGTGTTAGTAAGAAATGCTGTATTGGAGTATTGAATAGGTGAATACATACGAGATTTATCGTCTAGCCACAAAGATTGGCCACTAACGTTCTTTATTGAATTATCAGCCCGAACGCTTTTCTCAAACTCTTTGATGGCGGTCTCTATATCGACTGGATCTGCGCCCAAATCTACCAATTGTTTTCTTAAAAAGGCAATGTGTAAGCCCATTTTGAAATTTCTCTTATCTTGGTCTTTCCTTTCCTGTAAGATCTGGAGATCTCTTTTCTTCCGAGCATTTAGAAAATTAGCCTGCTGAGCTTGTAGGGTTTTAAGGTTGATGGCGGTCGTTTCGATATTAAGCTTTTCTAGCTTGATTCTATTGGTATAGTTATCTATGGCAAAATACGCCAATGCACACATTGCTAAGAAGGAAGTGAAATCTTTTAAAGACTTGTGGTTTCTGGCCGCAGTATCGTGAAACGATGGCGGGATATTGCCATTAGGTGGTGGATTTGCTGGATTTATTGGTTGTGATGGTGATATGGTTTCATTGTAGGTTGGAGGTATATAGTTTGGATTGCCAAAATTCAGTGGAGGGGTACCACCATTTACGTAGAATCGACGAAGAGTTAATCCCCGACAACAGTGCTTGTTTACGACTCTAGAAAGCATGAAGACTCAAGTAATTGACGTTTAGTGTAGAAAAGCTTCTGCACGTATTCTATTTGACCAATAGTGGTGGTGTACATGAAAAAAATCTTACACAAAAGCGCCGAAAGGACTTCTAATCCTAGACTACAATGTAACTAGTGATACTTAAACGTAAAATATATTAAGCATTACTTAAAGAGTAATGAAAAAAATGATGATACAGGGAATGATAGCAAGTTAACAGAAAATTACGCATGAAATCATAAAGTTTAATGTCTTCTTGATTCAGCAATGACCTTGTTCATTTCTTCGATCTTTCTACCGGCTCTCTTGTGGGTACCTAATCTCTTCTTAGCCAACTTCTTAGCTCTCTTTTCACCAGCATTTCTGATCAATTCGATCAATCTTCTTTCGTATGGAGCTAATCCGGAAACTTCCTTGACGATGTTTCTAACGAATTCAGTTCTCTTGGATAAAGCACCCTTTCTGTAAGAGACCTTTGGAGCAACTTCCTTGGCGACAACCTTGTGTCCCTTGTTTAATCCAACAGCAATACCTGTAAATTGTTAGTACTTTATCTTTTTTTCCCCTGGTGTCGGTCTTGTCGTCATGGTCCGTATTATCATTCTCTCATCTATTCAACTCATCTCGTCTCCAAAATCTCATATATCAATCTCCTTCATTTGCAAATGATCCCATATCCTCTGTATTCCCATGACACTCGATTTCATCCCTCTTTATGATTTATGTCAAATTCGTCATCGAAATATTTCACTTCACTGCTTGTCCATAATTTGATCACAATATTCTTAAAATACATCCGGCTCATGTCTTCTTGTTTCAACACCACTAATACTTAAGGCTTATTACATACCTGATCTAGCCATTTTATCTAATTATTTATTGACTTGTAAAAGATTAATCCTAAGTTAAAATTTTTTATAAAAAGGTCTATTGAAAATTACACTGAGAGGGTGAAATTTTTTCGTCGGTGGTCTCGTGCTAAGGGCGCAAAACCGGTCAAAATGGATGATTACATCAGCCTGGGCCAATATCACACAAAATTGTGATTTTAGTGCGAATCTACGGCTGAGACTATATACACTCATAAAGGGACACCGCTACAACCAGTGGTATACAGAAGAATATCATGTGACTACGTGACTGCTATTTCAGGAAAGTGGTTACATGGGTGTAAGGATGTTTACTATATTATGGATGTTTGGGTGTTTGGAATGGGTGCTAAAAAACTACTAGAGATATGTAAGACTAAGTATGTACATGAGGGAGAGATAAACCATGCATTGACACAAGATAATGAGAAACCAGACTAAATAGATGCATGGTAACGATACTAAGAGAAGGGGATATGTAAGAATGATAAGTAGGAGAATCGAAATACGAATTTACAGACACCAACAAAATGTAGACTGAAGACACCATGATGAATGGATTGTACCAGACTATTTTTGTAGCTTACTTAATGATATACAAGATTGTATTAATGACTATATACATATTATTCTACCTACGCCGAAACGTTTGAAAAATCAAAGTTGTAATGGTGCAACTTATCCACGATCTCCTCGGTGGTCAAGTACGTGTGGTTCAGGAGGAATTGCTTCCAGGTGATTGGGGTCCATGTGTCCTTGCTGGCAAACTGCCATAACTCTTCAAGCAACTTATTCCTACCGACGGTGATCTGCATGCCATCTCTGTGGACGTAGTACACTTGCTGCACATCGCCATCCTTCTCCACCTTGGGCAACTTGTTAAATTCCTGTTTCTTCATGATATCGTACTTCAAGTTCCACCCCTTCAATCCCATGGTCTTCACCCGGGCTGGCTTGTCCTTGAGCAAGTAATTGTCTAATCCTCCTTCACGCGTGATGGTTCTCAAGACGGTGGTCGACACCCTGGTGGCAATCGTCTTGTTCAATGTCTCGGACCACAACTTGGCCTTTACGATATTAGGCTTGTGTGCCCTCAAGCTCTTATTCTTAGACTCAGAACACGTTTTCGATCTCTTTCTCTGTAATCCTCCGTATAATCCTCTGTTCTGACGTTTAAAGAACATTGCTTCGTAATGATAATTAGGATATTGCTTTCTGAATAAAGGAATCCTCAACCCCTCGGCCGAATCACCTGCTTGGTACTTGGTGTCGTCAACTGGTTTGGCATATTTGGTGATCTTGTAATATTTTTCCATCGTTGGCATCGTCTGGTGCATGCTTCTTATATGGCTCATGGCTCCTCCGGCCGCCATTATCGCACTAGGAACACTGCGTTGCACTGAGGACAACCCCCTAAACAACCCTGTGCTTAATCGGTTCATCATTGTTCGTTTGTATCCCGTTAATATTCCCCAGGCATGAATCGACCATAAGTCTCAATGGTCTTTTTGGCCTGAAAAATTATATCGGCACAACCTTTCCGCACACGTACGTGTGTGCTTGTGCCGAAATCAACCTAACCTGTAAATATTTCCAATATGTAAAATGAAATCGGCCCCGGCTTTCCCCGGACACCTTATCTCGCAAATCGGTTTTTCCGCGTACCGAATCGTTTAATCTTAAATCTGCCATCTCTATTATGGGCCATCCCGTGCGGCCTTGCTCGTCCCGTCGCTAAGTCTGCAATCGAGAATATATCGTAATTGATACAGGGGTATATGCTGGTGTATATATAATTGGTCCTGTGGTTGTTGAAATTACAAATAAAATAGCGACGAGACCAAAAAAGAAACGGTGACCATATCTAGTGTGTTCTACCAATAGAGTCCGATTTTTAATAAGCAATAGTTGCAATAGTAACAATTTTTTGTATATAGTTCAGACGTACCCAGAAGGCTTTGTAGAGTATACAATCACTATAGGGCAGATTTTACGTAGGATAGATCGTGTTTGTTCGTATATAATTGGCGATTTTGTTTGTAGTAACAAGAAACGGACTTTGCCGTGTACTGGTCAAGAATCTTATCTAAATTTTTTTCGCTGATGAGGTTGATAATACGTTAACAAGAAAACTATCAAATCATAAGTTAACATAGACGCAAAACGTTGGTGAATATCTAGTAATAGACAATTCTTATTCGTATGTTAGAATCAGGATTCGAGAAAGGAAGCAAATTGAGATTGGGTGTCCAGGGATGGAGATGCACACACTTGCGAATCGCCCCTTGAGCACAACAACATTACATGGAAAACGGGATTTACTAACAAATTGATGCAGAGGAGGAATAAGAGACTTAATATCAGAGATAAAACCAGCACTGATAGTTGAGTACTATTTGACGTTATATTTGGAACTCGAAAGGACGCATAAAGGCTACTTATAGAGATACCTACATTCCTTAATATTACACTACAACACTTCACGTAGGAACCAAGGACAAGTTTTATCGCGATTCGAAGTGTTTAAATACTGGGACCACAGACCACGACTTTCATTTGATATTATATCCGAGTATTATATATATTGCTGCCCACAATCTAGATTCAACTAAATGGCAGATTTTGCGAAATCCATATTTGGGTTCAGCGGTTTCCATAAGAAAGACAATCAGACAAATTGTCTGTCGAATGAAGCATCCAAGGAAAACCAACGCCCATACCAACAGCTTCCATCGCAATACCCGGAGCAAGCACAACCCTTAAGTCAGCATACGACGGGCCAGTCACAATTTTCTGATATGGCCAGTCATCACCCTAGCGATTCGATTACGTCGGCCAATAAAAAGTTTTTGCCCAAGGGTTTAGCTGCCGTCACACCCACGACTGCTATTTCAAACCAATCGATGGCGTACGGCACAACCACAAAAAACGACAATAATACTACAAGTGAAACATTTTTGAACCAAACATTCAAGAATGGGAATAACAATTCCAATTCTAACGTAAACCAAGACACTTATATGGTATCTCAATCAGCTAATAGGGACAACCATCAACAACAATCGCAGCATGCTTCTACTGCTGCTAGTATGAACGATGATATCAGTATCGACTCTGAACAATATTCTAAGCAACCCGTCATTATCACTACCGATGAGACAGGTCAAAATCAACAACCTCAATCTAAAAGCGGTAGTCAACCTAAGGGCAGATTGAAGGTTTCAATTATTGAAGCCAAGGATTTATTAATAAACTCAAATAATTCACAACCCTATGTTGTATGTACTTTCGAAAGTTCTGAATTTGTTACAAATGCACCTGGATCATTTGGTAAATCTTCGGGTAATCCCTCAAATCAAAACAAAATCCAACAATTAGGGGGTGTTCCAATGGTGAAGTTTTCAGACAAAAACGAAAAAAATAGACCTGCATTATATCAAAGACAATCATCAACTCAGCATCTCAATTTAAAGAATTTTAAAATTGGCTCTACAAATCCAATTTGGAATCACGAAGCAATATTTGATGTAGTCGGATCAAAATCGGAATTGGATATTTCTGTGTATGACGCAGCGAGTGATGATTCGTTCTTAGGGCATGTTAGGATCTTTCCTTCTACCAACAGTTCGACGTCTAATAAGCAAAATAATGCAGAATGGTTAGAATTGAAAACAAGAATTGTTGGTGAAAGAGTCTCGGGTTCAATCAGAGTTAACTGGGAGTATAGCTCTTTGGGAAAGAAACCTTATGGGCCAGATGATTTTGAAGTTTTGAGGTTATTAGGTAAGGGGACTTTTGGTCAAGTTTACCAAGTCAGAAAGAATGATACGGACAGAATTTATGCCATGAAAGTTTTGTCTAAGAAAGTTATTGTTAAAAAGAAGGAAATTGCACATACTATTGGAGAAAGAAATATATTAGTTAGAACGTCGACGGCAGCCTCTCCATTTGTCGTTGGATTAAAATTTTCGTTCCAGACGCCTGCCGATTTATACTTGGTTACTGATTATATGTCTGGTGGGGAATTGTTTTGGCACTTACAGAAAGAGGGAAGGTTCGCCGAAGATAGGGCTAAGTTTTATATTGCCGAATTGGTTTTGGCTTTGGAACATTTACATGATAATGATATTGTATATCGTGACTTGAAACCAGAGAATATTTTACTAGATGCTAATGGTCACATCGCGTTATGTGATTTTGGATTATCAAAGGCCAATTTAAATAACGATGGTACCACCAATACTTTCTGTGGCACAACGGAATATTTAGCCCCAGAAGTTTTACTCGATGAATCTGGATATACGAAGATGGTTGATTTCTGGTCTTTAGGCGTTTTGATTTTTGAAATGTGTTGCGGTTGGTCGCCATTTTATGCTGAGAATACTCAGCAAATGTACAAAAATATTGCATTTGGTAAAGTGAGATTTCCTAAAGAAGTATTGAGTATTGAGGGTCGTTCTTTTGTCAAGGGACTATTAAACAGGAACCCCAAACATAGATTAGGATCCGCTAACGATGCAAGAGAATTGAGGGCTCATCAATTCTTTCAGGATATTGACTGGACATTATTGAAAGCGAAGAGCATTCCTCCACCCTTTAAACCACATTTAACGTCAGAAACCGATACATCCAATTTTGATCCTGAATTCACTTCAGAGTCGACCTCAGTATTGAAGAAACAATTGGAATTAGCTTCCACTCCTCTATCACCTGGAATCCAAGCAAATTTTAAAGGATTCACCTATGTCGACGATTCTACCATGGAAGACCATTTTGGAAAGTCACATAGGATGAATGCTTTCAAGGGTCCTGGATCCTTTATCCCCGGCAATCCTGATTTACCCCCCGACGAGGACGCCATAGACGACGATCAATTTGATGAAAACGAAGAAATGGAAATTGATGAAGACCATCATATGGATGATGAAGAATTTGTCAATGGAAGGTTTGATTTATGAACAACTAATATTCTGTTGTACTCTATTTATTTATTT